ATAAGATGAAACAAATTCACAAAAAGGGGTAAGATTATAATTCAGGTGATGGAGACGAACATTTACTTTACGTTAAAAATATATTGCGTCCTATCACTGTACGATGTGCATTAGATATAATAATTTTAAATATTAATATAATAACATTTGTAGAACTTCTAACAAAAAATTGGTTCACAATAAACTTTACGTGTAAAAACCGTCTCCGAATGTACAGTTATACAATGACTGATTATTTAGTAATTTTTGTGATTTGGTTGTTGCTTTCTGATTATCTGTGCCAGCATTAATAGCTTCTTTTCTCATTTTAACGGAAGCAGCAAAATTTTTCAGAGGGGATAAGGTCGGACAACCTCTCGTCCGCCTACTCGGAAAAGTATCACAACAAGCTGATATAAACCGGTTATACACTAACCCTTCAAGTTAAACCTTATCTGAGCAGCACACAGTGTGATCGGTTTGAAGTATCTTAATCCACAGCATTTGGCGGGTGTTTAAAACCGCATTTGATAAAACAAGAAAATATTCTTCAATATTTGTAACTGATATTCTATTCTTTATCAACAATTCAATGTATTGTGAAGTATTAGAGTTTTCTTTCGTAACCGCAAAAAACGAAACGGATACTAGTGTAACTGTCCCCTGGAAAGTCGAAACGCGGACACACACACATCCAAAATCAAAATCTCTAACTCAATCTAGGAGTGCATCTATTAAGCATTATCCGAAAAAAAACTCATAACAACAGCTAAAACAACAAACGGTGTTGTTAAAAAAGGACTTACACACGAAAGACAAAGTAAGGGAATAGATAATTAATAAAGTTAACATAAAAAACAAATAATTCCACTTCACTTTTTTTAGCGTATTTCTCAAAGAAGTCAATAATTTTAATCTAGTTCGTTCCTAACTGAAGTTATGCTGACTTTGCATTCCTCCGTAGGCAAAGTCGGCATAACTTCAGACCCAATTCAAAAGTTTATAAATGTGCTAATAATTGATGTAAGTGTAAGAACAGGCAAATTCTTTAATGTCAAAACTGGAACCGTTGGCAGCATTCTAATTGTCCTTCTTGAATATTCAAGTTATCCCTTCCCTGCTTTTATTGGTAATGCATTGGCAAATATTTACCAATTTAGCGCTACCAGGCACGGGAATATTATATTAATTGCCGTGGCGGGCAAATTACTTCTTTAGTCAGCTCCGTCGACATTGCACAACAAATGTTGGCTAACTCCTCAACTAACGATACGGACGAACCAGAATCTACCATCAATGTCGACTCTGATACGGATTACGAAGAAATTATTAATGATAACAAAAATCAACCCAAACCAAAACTCAACTGAAAAAACGTAACACAAGGAGCAGCAAACGAATAACAAAATTTCCATTTGACAATGATATAATAATAATAATAATTACAATAATATTAATATTTATAATAAATAAATAAATACATTTGCCAAATTCGTAATTCTGCATACATGATAACGTTTATAACAAAATAAAACTGTAAATTGCGAATGAAAATGTTAAATAAAAATACGCTAATATAAAAAGACTTCGGTAACCCGCCTCTTTTTCCTTTTTCATTTCTTTATAAAAATCAAACTTTTACTTTTACTAAAACTATGTAATACCAATATGACTCAGCATAAATTCAAACCATACAGATTTAAATCATACTCGCTCGAACTACAATATTACCCAACGCCCAAACTGTTATAATGTCAAAAAAAAATTACAACATTGAAATCAATTATTCTTACGTTCCGAAAAGCTGTTTCCCACCTGCTCGCACACCCTCACCTACTAGCTGTCACAATCTTAAAGACAGGACATTGAAATAATCGATTTACGAGAAATGAACTTGCTATTGGAACGTCATCCGACTTCGATAAAGGTAAAATGGTCGCTTGTAAACAAACTGCCTGATTGCTTCAATAAACAATTGAGCGATTGTTCCCAGCGTTACAATAATATGTGAAAAATTGGAGGGGAAAGTTTGATATTACAAGCGGTACAAAAACGAAAATTTTAATCCCAGAATTCAAAAAAAGCGAACCAATCCACGGGTGTATCGAGATTAAAGTATTATTTCGGTTAGTCAAAGATCTTTGTAACACGATTATTATCGCGGTTTTCAAAATTATTGAAACCCCTGACATTTTGTACACACATAGTCTCTTGACTATGCGAAAATTGCGAACACCAACTAAAGTCTCTGCAAACTGCTGCGATTATTCACTTGCACTCGACTTCTTACCCTTTCCGTGACACTTTTGCTTACACTCTTAGTAAGTCCTCGCAGCACTAGCGCCAGTATTTACAGAAAATGTTGCACAATTACTAACGATTACTGTACGATTACTGCACGATTACTGGCGATTACTGACGATTACTGACGATTACTGCTTTCAGTTGCCTGTTACATATTAAACTCAGAGAATATAACATGGTGCTGGGGAATAGTTTATCGTCCATTGCGACGGTTTGTCTCATAGACAGATTTGCCGTCAGCAGAGGCACTGGATAATTTCGACACTGCTATAGAATTCAACCCGACGATACCTTTACACTCAACACACGCGGCAAAGTGTATTACATAATGGAGTTCTACGAGAATGCACTTGCAGATCTCGACATTGTTCTAGAAATAAAACCTGCCAACAACTTTGATCATAATCGTGTTTACTACATGTTGAGCAGACTCCACTTGCATTGAAGAATAGAGGGCTTTGTAGAAATAAATACGGCCATCATTTGTGACTTTCGTTTCCTTTTTTTTCTTTTTCACAAGTACAGGTCTCAAAAGCGCTATCCGTTTTTAAATAATAAACAGAGTTGTCAAACATAACATAAGGCGATAGATAGTATATTGTCTGGGTTTATTGAGTAATCATGATCGAAACGGCGCGCCTTTAAATAAATATACGCGCATTTGATTGGTTAATTGTTTATGTATGTATGTCGATCGGGAATTTCTATAATTTTGAAAACTGCTATAATAAATTTCGGCTTACGCTATATTAAACATTTGGAAAACCAAAAAACATCCGAATTTTGGCTCAGCATGACTTTGTCTTAGCGAGCTTGTCATGTATATACAATGTTCTCATCATTACATATACAGCATTATTTGACCTTAGGTCGCCCGTTATCCTATGCACTTTCACCTTTGTGACTAAGGCGTCTTTAATGAAAAGAAAAGCCACTTCTATCTTTTTTTTTATTCAACGGATACTGCCAATATTTAAAAGAATCAATAAAACTTGGGTAGAAAACAACCAATTAATATGAGCAAACAAATCTCCATTATTAATTGTACTATGGCTAGACACTCGACAATAATATTGAAGCAATTAAAGTATTTTATTATAGTCACTATAATATTACGTTACAATTTTACGTTTTTTAGCACAAAACTGCTTTTTCTTTCGCCTCAAATAAAACCATAAACAAAAACAAAATAAACAGATACACACACAAATTGACAAAACACAGGTGCAATGGAAGTTATCTTTTTGATAACCGGAGAGACTATTTGTAATTCCTCTGCAACTGTAACCTTCACATACACAAATTAATAAAAAACCGTCCCATTCCCAATTAATAAATACTCAACGAGTTATCTCATTTCAAACGTCT